TGTTTTTGAAAATATCGCTTGCTTCAGAACATGTCGTGAAGCAACAGAAAATTATATATCAGTGATGATTAATTGTATATTTTTACAATATTATAAAGTAATGCAATGATTAAGAACAATTTTACAACGACTATCTATAATAGTTTACTACTATCTTAACTAAATTGTACACATAGAAGTACGATGAAATAATAATTGATATAATATCCTGCGAGAATATCAGTTAGAACAACATAAAACAAGTTCACGAAAAACTCATGCACGAGATATATGAACGCGCGCAAGCAACGGACCTATACCGCGACAATCACAATTTGTGTCGCGACAACGGACCTACTACGGCAATAACTTGTGTTGCGACAACGGACCTACTACGAAATAACTTGTGTCGCGGACAAACGGACCTACTACGGCAATAACGTTTGTCGCGACAACGGACTTTCTACGGCAATAACTTGTGTCGCGACAACGGACCTACTACGGCAATAACTTTGTGTCGCGACCAACGGACCTACTACGGCAATAACTTTTGTCGGCGACAAACTGAGACCTATCTACGGCCAATAACTTTGTGTCGCGACAACGGACCTACTACGGCAATAACTTTGTGTCGCGACAACGGACCTACCTCGGTCACGATCGTGGAACCGTACCAGGTTTTGTCGAATACCCAGCCATGACGACACGGTACGGTCGGCCAGCGGTTGTCTCCCATCAACTGTACGTTGGCGGGCGGAACTCGATCGCCAAGCTCCCGGAGGAAGTTCACGTCGTACATGCGACAACTGCTGTGAACGAGTTTGCCTTTTTTCTTTTCCCACGGCAGCGTCAAGTCTTGATCTGCTGAGTCGTTAGTCCCTGAGTTTTCCAGGTCGGGCACACGGCACCAGTGCTCAGGGGTGGCGACCATGAATATTTGGTTGAAGGCCGGGAAGCCTGTTACCACCACGATGACCACAGCACACAGATAACACTACCTGGTAGCGACCGCATCCCCGATGTATGGAATTATTTCGTCAAAGTCCATGTACTTCTGTTCCCTCGTAGCGTCACTGCGGGTATCCGATGGTTTGTCATCCATTGCGAATAGCGTTTCCGCTAGCCTTTAAACAAGCAGCATGCACAGCAGCATTACACAGTGTGTTAGCATGTCTGTTTTTACTCACTTCTAATTATATATATACACACATTTTACATGCGTGCGTGGTGGGTTGCTTGCTTGCGTGCGTGCGTGCGTGCGTGTGTGTGTGTGCGTGCGTGTGCGCGCGTGCGTGCGTGCGTGCGGTGTGCGCGGTGCGTGCGCTGTGTGTGCGTGTGTGTGTGTGTGTGTGTGTGTGCGCGCGCGCGGTGTCTGGTGTGTTTGACGTGTGTGTGTGTGTGTATGTGCGTTTTCAAGGTGTTAGGCATAAACTATACTATCACTACACTAAACTAAAATAAACTAAACTAAAACTAATTAAACTAAACCAAACTAAACTAAACTAAACTAAAACTAAATTAAACTAAACTAATCATACTAAATTAAACTAACTAAACTAAACTAAACTAAACTAAACTAAACCAAGCTAAACTAAACTAAACTAAAACTAATTAAACTAAACTAAACTAAACAAACCAAACCAACCCAACCCAAACTAAACTAAACTAAAAAAAAAAAAAGTTTAAACTAAACTTAATTAATAAACTAAACTAAACTAAAATTAAACTAAACTAAACTAAACCAATAAACCAATTGTAGCAGCAAACCTAAAATAAGCTTAACACAACGCAGTATCGTAAACCTTGCACCAGGCTATACTGGCATCATAAAACCCCACCGATGATATGTCTCCGTTAATTTAATATATTAGCGCTAAAGGTCAGGCGTTTTCTTAATGGAGGCCATGCCTAGCTAGAGCAACACCATTCAAGATACGAAATGCCAATTGCAGTAGCAGAGGGAATAATGCTAAATTCGCGTTCATGCGTCAGCACATTAACATGACACTGGGAACAAGTTTTTAGCGCGACACACACGTGCGCGGTTACGGGTGCGGTGGGAACGAGATGTAAATTTCGTATTTAGAGCAGGCAAAATATTTTCACAGGTTGTTAAAGTAAGCGCGACGCTGAGTTGTGATTGCGTGTCAGCTAATACATAGGACTACGTATTCATACGAAGCGACTTATGTATCTAATGGCAGCAATTAGATTACTGGCCAAAAAATACTCATGACATCGTAGAGCACCGTCTACATTAAGCCCCCGTTTAATCCCCCTTACCGCAACTATAGCGAATGAGGTGTGTTTAATCGAACAAAAACAAAACAAAAATGCCCGTAAATAATTCGCGTTATTTCCTCATACCGGTTACACGTGTGCGTTCCACTTGCCGTTCGTTCGTTATTACTCGTTGTTCAAAGAGTTCAAAGTCAGCTGGCGGTGATTGGTGGTTCCGCTCCAGTGCAGTAGCAGCGCCAGTCTCAGCCGCCGTCCTTTCGTCTGTCCGCACTGCGACCTAGCACGAACTACACCAACTCCGCGCGCCATCCCGGCACAGTCTGCATGGTCACCAGCGCGACAGTCGACCCTGCAGCATCGCAACACGCATGCAGTGTAAGCGCGCGGGGTCGGCCGTGGACCACGGAAACAACTCTAGCTCCAACCGCCACGCCTCCTCACGCACAGGATGATGAGGCGGTGCTAAGGCGGAGGGGGGGGGACTCGATTAAACGCTGTCTTATCGCCACCACCAACGGCCGAAGCAAAGCGAATTACACACATGTGTGTGTGTAGGGCCTATACAGGCGAGAAAGTTCGCGCGAAACGTCGCCCAACCCGCGTGCAAAATGGCCGATCGTTAACCGTTTCAGGACGGCGAGTAACGTTGTAAATATCGGCGTTCAGAAAAAAAGCGGCTTAAATATGCGCAAGCTCGCAGCGGCACAGGCGAGGCTGGCGTACAAAGTGGGGGGGGGGGGAGGGCATTCATGGGGAGAATGAATGAATACTCTATGCTGCACTACTATACTATAATAGACGCTATACTACTACTATACGATACTACCGATAACGCACTATTACTATACTATTGCTATGCCGCTTGCTACTATAGTATATTCCGTATAACACACGGAGTGAATAAATACACCCCAATTATACCCCAACTGTACCACTTACTATAGTGCATGTAAGCTGTTGCTAGCTGTGCGGGGACAAGCTTCCATAGTGCCATATTCCATAGCTACTATAGTTGCGGGTGCATACTCACGCTGCCATATAACCTGCCGTTAAAATAACTGCAATTTACAACCTTTCAATTCAAGAATCGGAAAAGGTAGAATCATTAGAGCAGAGGCAGTATGTTTTTCACTAAAAGAATCGGTTGAAATTAGGCATAAGAAAAGTTTGTATCGTCTGTGAAAATGTACCATTGTATGATCCGATTAAAACTACAAAATCTGTATATTTCAATAGTTTGTTCTGATAGTAGTACACAATTGTTAGATTCAATTAAGGCATAGCAAAACAAGCGACCACAATGTAAATAAGTGTGCTAGTCATGCTTTTGGTATATATCCTTCGGTAATTATCCAATTTTATGATTTCAAATTTTTATTGTAAAAGTATGCAATGTATTGTTATATGAGGATAATTGCCAGAGAGAGAGAGAGAGAGAGAGTGAGAGAGAGAGAGTGAGAGAGAGGTAGACAGATAGACAGAAAGACAGAGAGACAATAAACTTTGTTAATCTACAAATTTGTTAACATATGTATCACTCTAACGTAACACGTAATTATATCAAACGATATCACACCTTTCCAACGCACCTCGCATTAGTCTTGCTAATGCTATTGTACATGGCAGTATTCTTCTTCAAACTCACCGGAGTTGACACCTATTTTTTAGGCTGACCACACGTCGCCCAGTGAACAGGGAAACTTATTGACCGTGCTAAAGTTCCGATATCTAATGAAGAAATTTGTGGTAATCCTAGTAGTTTGGTGAGTAGTAGTCTTAACCATAACGATAATTATGATCGAAATCAGAAGAGATTGTAATCAGCTATATAGATGGTTGCAGTCATTTAAAATCCACACGGCTCAAGTTATGCCTGTGAATAGAATAGGGTGAGGCGTTTTTTTCTTTTTTTTTTGGCTACTGTCGGTGCTTTACACCATTTCGTGTTTTCTTTATCTTATGCTTAAATATATAAAAATATTCTTAAATCTATGGATTTAAGATCGATCTCTGTGTGCGGGCTTCTATATTTATTAAATCCGTGTTTGCGTGTAGTATATACTTGACGCTTATGTTTTAGGGTTACAAACGCGATGGTGTACATAGGCCAGACCTATGCTGCAGGCACGTCGGGCGTCATAGGGGAAAATCCATACCTGGTTTTCTTCTTTTCCGCTGCGGTTGAAGGGATGGGTGAGCAATAATCATGCGTGGCAATAATAGCTAGTAATAACGCGTCGCCTTTGATCGTCAACATGTCTATGATCGTCGAAATGTGTGACATAATTGCCTAAGTGCACCGTTATTGCAACTTGTTTAGTTTGGACTATATGAATTACACATTATTATGACGATGAAAAGTGACAAATTAACAAAATTATGCATTTTAAAGAGGTAGTGGATGTAGTATTAGTTGACTGAGAATACGTGAACTCATCGTACTGACGTAATTAAACAGACGGATTTCACAGCTGCGCTAGAATGATGAAAGTTGTTGAAGCCGTAATTTGAGTCGGATATACGCCTTTCCTTGTCGTATAGGATATTTCGCATCTTGGCCTATCATGCAGTTACTGGGCAGACGATGGGCGGTCTTCATCAACATGAGTGTATGTGCAGCAGCAAGCTTTTTGATAACGGCGGTTCCAGCTGGTAAGGGACACCAGACTATCAGAACAAACTATTGAAATATACAGATTTGTAGTTTTAATCGGTCATACAATGGTACATTTTCACAAGACGATACAAACTTTTCTTATGCCTAATTTCAACCGAATTCTTTTAGTGAAAAACATACTCCTCTGCCTCTAATGATTCTACCTTTTCCGATTCTTGATTGAAAGGTTGTAAATTGCAGTTATTTTAACGGCAGGGTTATATGGCAGCGTGAGTATGCACCCGCACTATAGTAGCTATGGAACTATGGCACTATGGAAGCTTGTCACCCGCACAGCTAGCAACAGCTTACATGCACTATAGTAGTGGTACAGTTGGGGTATAATTGGGGTGTATTTATTCACTCCGTGTGTTATAGGAATATACTATAGTAGCACGGCATAGCAATAGTATAGTAATAGTGCGTTATCGTAGTATCGTATAGTAGTAGTATAGCGTCATATTATAGTATAGTAGTGCAGCATAGAGTATTCATTCATTCTCCCCATGAATGCCTTCCCCCCCCCCCCACTTTGTACCCAGCCTCCCCTGTGCCGCTGGCAGCTGCGCATATTTAAGCCGCTTTTTTTCTGAACGCCGATATTTACCAACGTTACTCGCCGTCCTGAAACCGGTTAACGATCGGCCATTTTGCACGCGGGTTGGGCGACGTTCGCGCGAACTTTCCTCGCCTGTATAGGCCCTACACACACACATGTGTGTAATTCGCTTTGCTTCGGCGTTGGTGGTGGCGATAAGACAGCGTTTATCGAGCCCCCATCCCCCTCCCCTTAGCACCGCCTCATCATCCTGTGCGTGAGGAGGCGTGGCGGTTGGGAGCTAGAGTTGTTTCCGTGGTCCACGCCGACCCCGCGCGCTACACTGCATGCGTGTTGCGATGCTGCAGGGTCACTGTCGCGCTGGTGGACATGCAGACTGTGCCGGGATGGCCGCGGAGTTGGTGTAGTTCGTGCTAGGTCGCAGTGCGGACAGACGAAAGGACGCGGCTGAGACTGCGCTGCTACTGCACTGGAGCGGAACCCACCATCACCGCCAGCTGACTTTGAACTCTTTGAACAACGAGTATAACGAACGAACGGCAGTGGGAACGCACACGTGTAACCGGTATGAGGAAATAACCGAATTATTACGGGCATTTTTGTTTTGTTTTTTTGTTCGATTTAAACACACCTCATTCGCTATAGTTGCGGTAAGGGGGATTAACACGGGGCTTAATGTAGACGGTGCTCTACGATGTCATGAGTATTTCTTTGCCAGTAATACTAATTGCTCATTATGATACATAAGTCGATCTCGTATGAATACGTAGTCCTATGTATTTAGCTGACACGCAATCACAACTCAGCGTCGCGCCTTACTTCTAACAACTGTGAAAATATTTGCCTGCTCTAAATACGAAATTTACATCTCGTTCCCACCGCACCGTAAACCGCGCACGTGTGGTCGCGCTAAAAACTTGTTCCCAGTGTCATGTTAATGTGCTGACGCATGAACGCGGAATTTAGCATTATTCCCTCTGCTACTGCAATTGGCATTCGTATCTTGAATGGTGTTGCTACTAGCTGGCATGGCTCCATTAGAAAACGCCTGACCTTTAGCGCTAATAATTAAATTAACGAGACCATATCATCGGTGGGGTTTTATGATGCCAAGTATAGCCCTGGTGCAAGGTTTACGATACTGCGTTGTGTTAAGCTTATTTTAGGTTTGCCTTACAATTGGTTTAATTGGTTTGGTTTAGTTTAGTTTAATTTAGTTTAGTTTAGTTTAGTTTAGTTTAGTTTAGTTTAGTTTAGTTTAGTTTAGTTTAGTTTAGTTTGGGTTGGGTTGGTTTGGTTTGGTTTAGTTTAGTTTAGTTTAATTTAGTTTTAGTTTAGTTTAGTTTAGCTTGGTTTAGTTTAGTTTAGTTTAGTTTAGTTTAGTTTAGTTTGGGTTGGGTTGGTTTGGTTTGGTTTAGTTTAGTTTAGTTTAATTTAGTTTTAGTTTAGTTTAGTTTAGTTTTAGTCTTTAGTTTATTTTAGTTATAGTTGTAGTGATAGTCATATGTTTAATCGCTAACACCGTTGAAAGACGCAATACACACACCACACACGACGCAAAAGCACACCATGTGTATCGTAGCGCGCGCGGGCGACACACACAGCACAGCACACACACAGCAACACCACGCACGCACACGCGCACACTAGCACGCACGCTACGTCACGCGCGCACACGCACGCACACACACACAGGCGCACGCACGCACGCAGCAAGCCAAGCCAACACACCACGAGGCATCTAAGATGGTGTGTATAATATACTAGGATTAGAAGTGAGGATAAGAACAGAATGCTAACACACTGTGTAATGCTGCTCGGCATGCCTGGCTGTTTAAAGGCTAGCGAACGCTCTATTCGCATGGATGACAAACCATGCGATACCGCGAGTGACGCTACGAGGGAACAGAAGTAATTCACGAGACTTCGACGAAATAATTCCATACATCGCGGGGATGGCGGCTCGCTTACCAGGTAGGTGTTATTCTGTGTGTTGTGTCATCTGCTGTGGTAATACTATGGTCTCTCCTCGGCCTTTCAACCTCAGAATATTCGATGGTCGCCACCCCTGCAGCACTGGTGGCCGTGTGCCCGACTGGAAAACTAGGACTAACGACTCAGCAGATCAAGACTTGACGCTGGCCGTGGGAAAAAAAAACAGGCCAAACTGTTCACAGCAGTTGTCAGCAGTGTACGGGGGACTCGACGAACTTCGCTCCGGGAGCTTGGCGACTGCGAGCTTCCGCCCGCCAACGTACAGATTGATGGGTAGACACACCGCTGCCGATGCCGTACCGTGTCCGTCATGGCTGGGTATTCGAAAACCGTGTAACGGCTTCACGATTCGTGAGCCGAGCGTAGGTCCGTATGTCGCGACGATCAGAAGTTATTGGCCGTGTAGTAGTCCGTTGTCGCCGGACACGAAAGTTATTGGCCGTAGTAGTCTCAGTTGTCGCCGACAAAAGTTATTGCCGTAAGTACTTCGTCCGTTGTCGCGACACAAAGTTATTGCGCGTAGTTAGGTCCGTTTGTCGCGACACAAGTTATTGCCGTAGTAAAGTCCGTGTCGCGACAAAAGTTATTGCCGTTAGTAAGGTCCGTTTGTCCCGACACAAGTTATTTCGTAGTAGGTCCCGGTTGTCGCGACACAAGTTATTGCCGTAGTAGTCCGTCTGTCGCCGGACACAAATTGTGATTGTCGCGGTATAGGTCGCGGTTGCTTGCGCGCGGGTTCATATATCTCGTGGGCATGGTTTTTCGTAACTTGTTTCTATGTTGTTCTATACTGATATTCTCGGCAGATATTATATCAATTTATATATTTCATCGTACTTCTATGTGTACAAATTTAGTTATAGATCAGTAGTAAACTATCTTATTAGATAGTCGTTGTAAAATTGTTGCTAATCATTGCAATTGACCATTATAATATTTAAAAATATACATAATAATCACACTGAAGTATAAATTTTTCTGTGCTTCACGACATGTTCTGAAGGCAAGCGTATTTTCAAAAAACA